AAAGCAGATACTGCGGACTATCAGAGAGGAGGTACTGGCTGTGGGCTGCTGGATTTATCCAGCATGGATAAATTGCTACAAGCAAACAGTCACTTAAAGAAGTCATCCTGAACCAATGTCGAACAGAAGCATGTAATGTGTCACTTCATGGATTTAAAAGAAAAACAGCCTGTGAAGAAATGAATAGCTTGGAACATCAAAAAAGCCTTCGAATGTCTAGCCACTCCAAATTTATCGGAATCTTTTGAAGACTTCTCCTGTCTTCCATTGCTCTTTGAACATATTTTTGTTACACCCCTAACAATCAGGCTGGTCGCATAGAACAGCTTACAGTTTCTTTCAATTCCATTCCTCCTCCTCCCCCACCCAGCTATAAGCAGCTTTCTGGGTAATTTGGATTGCTGGACTGCTTTTCCTCCTGTTATTTTCCTTTTCTAGACAATCAACCCGCACAGATACGTAGTTTGCATTTGCAAATGAACACAGATCATATGCAAATAACTGTGGAAGAATCTTCTTCATAGCTGCAAGTGCCTTAATATATGGGCACAGCGGGAGTTCAGACATCTCTGCAGCTTCATCCATTCTGCCCCACTTTAAAAATTTAGCATCTTTGTCTTATGAGTGAGATATTTTATTTAAACAGAGCATGACAGCATAATGCATTAGGGCAAAGGCAGACTGCAGAGCTGACATCTATGAACCTACAAACACAAGACTGAAAAGGTGGGAATGGCAGTCATGGGTGTCAATTGCCACTCATCACCCCTTTGTTTAAAAGGAAAAAAGGGAGTAATGGGAAAGCTAGGACTGTACAAGTATCTTCCTCCGAGCTAAATAACCATCTGCAACTAATACTTTGATCATGACTATTTCATAAACCTCTAATGGATTAAACTTCTAGTCACCACTTAAAAAAGAAGGCAATATTGATTGATGGGAAAGCAAGACTCTACTTATTTTCAAAATTAACTTATGATGATAGCAGAGAAGTAAGCTGTTGAAACAAAAACCACAGCAGTTTTAATATCTTGACTGACGTGACCTTTCGGATGCAATTGTGTAGATGGAAACAATATGCTGCAAGGAAGAGAGGGTATAAATCTGGATATTCTTACTTTCATTCTACTCAATCACTCTTCTCTCTCATGCCACCCCCTTCCAGGATAACCAATTATAAGAAGTGAGTGCATCATTCCTTAAAAAAATACAGTCTTATCTCTGGGTACAATGTAGGTGGTTGTTGTTGATGTTATTATTATGTATATTGTCATTGCTGTTGTTATACATTCTACTTATAATAATCTGATAACCAAATTCCAGAGACTACACTGACATTCAAGAAATGCTGTCATATAGATGTAACACTGCACCATGGCCAGACAGGATTTTGTAGCCTAATACTTCAGGACTGACGCTCTCTGAGAAGGACCAATAATTCATTTTTTGGATTAATAGTAGCTGAAAACACTCAGCACTTCACAGGATCTGCCTGGTTTCTATTCGTATCAGACATCTAATTATTTTTGTTTACTTACCTCCAACTTTGGAATTGTAGGCTACTCCAACACCACATTTTCTGTTGTTGGCTTGCATGGCAATTTCTCCTGCACACCGTGTCCCATGCCTGAATAAATATAGTAAGAATAAACAACATCTCATAACATCTTTGTGTAATGTACACAGAGACTCATCAATGACCTTCTTGATTTGGTGGAAGTCTTCCTTTAGATGAATGTAATGCAGCTGTTGAATACCTTTTGAGTTTTATCTACATAGCACAGAAATACTTATTTCTCTTAGGCTTCCATCAACATAGTTTTACCTACTTAATGATCAAAGGATCACCGTGACCAGATGATAAATACCTAATCTAAGTCACGCTGAAGTCCATAGACCTATTAGATACTAGATTTTAGTAAAGCACAAAAGCAGTGTAAAATCATGGGGCAAAGAAGCTGATAAACTTCTTCAGACAGAAATATGATACAAGTCTTTTTTTAATCACATATTTAGATACTCTTTTTTAAGGACAGAATTTATTTTGGGTTTCAGAAAGTTAGCCTTTGAAGTATCCTCATCATTGCTGAATTTTTCTTGTAACCAACCATTTTCTATCCAATTATTTTTGCCATAGGTGATTCTTATTCTGCAATACAGAAAACTTTGATGGAAGTGTAATTGTAAAAGAGCTGTATTATTTAATGCTACAGATTGCTATTCAATGAAGTGTTTGAATGCTCCTGGGCCGGATTCCATTTACTTATTAATAAAGATTAGAGGTAGTATAGGTGGATTTAAGAGATAATGTCATTGGAACAACAGGATAATGGCTTCTTGTTCTTAAATAACACTGTGACAAGGTAGAAATGTCATTTTCCAAACATCTTATTTATGGGACATTTATCCTTTGACTGATCGTTTGTTTCCCCATACACTGATTTATGTTCAGGATGCTATTGTACTGTCTGATAAGACAATAGGGAACCAGTGCAGCACTTTCCTACTGGATTTTTACTGAGTAGCAGCATCCTAATTGGTTTAAGGAATTGACTTCTTCTGTGCAACGGCATTTAAAGAGGTCCATTCTCTTCTGTTTCCAAAGGACAAAATCACTCCCTGAACAACCATGGATAAGCCTAGGTGTGACAAACCCATCAAGATGCTCTACAGAGTATGAAAGACGTAGCTGTAGACAGACATCATACAAAATTCCTCTCTCCTTCCAAGACACACAAGTCCACTAAGTGAAGTGACTGCTTGTGGTTCAAGCCTTTTGAAACTTCAGAGGTTATCACCTTGAGGACATTTAGGCCAAATCTGGTCTAAATAAAGCTTCCATACACCTCAGGAGAGACAGAAAGATTGTCCCGGGAGTGAATGTAACTTCCTCCAGTGTCTGACTGTGTGTCATTCCCACATGACAGCTCAGAAGAATGACTTCACCTGTGATTGCATGCACTGAGCTAGAAGCTGTTCTTTGTTCCAAAAGGTACTGACAAAACTGGAAAACAGCGTCCTTAGCTACAAAAGCTGACCTGAAGGGATGGGTTTCTTGGTAGGTTCCTCTAAGACACAGTCTGTTCCTGAGCCCTTCATGGGAGACATATTCTTTTTAAATTCCCAGTGCAAAGCAGAGAACTGAAGCAAAAATCTGCACAGGAATATCTCATTCTAGAAACACACACAGTGACAGGAACAGACTGTTCCCTTCAGCTTACAGAAACATATCAGTACCTTACATATACAAACATATGAAGAAATTCAGGACATTACAGGGAAATTACGATTATTAAGCTCTTCATCTGTGAATTTAATTTTCTTAGTTTCTGGTGTTTCTGTGCCAGTGTTACGTGCAAATATTTGTGCAAACTGAAACCCAGTAGGTTCCTTCAAACAACAAGAAACACTTTTTCACCATGAGGCAGACCAAGCACTGGCACAGGTCGCCCAGGGAGGTTGTGGAGTCTCCTTCATTGTGAATATTCAAAAGTTGTTCTGGGCAACCGGCCCTAGGTGTCCCTGCTTGAGCAGGTGGATCGGACCAGATGACCTTCAGGGGTCCCTTCCAACCTCAACCATTCTGTGATTCTGTTATACAAATATTTCCTTTCATTATATAGTTGTCATACAAGACATACTTGTATTTCTGTGTTGGCATGTTCTAACAGACAAATTAATAATGTACTGTTTTGTTCTCTTCACACAGCTGGGAGGCTACTTACTTGTTTTCATTTGTTGGGTCATATCTAGGAAAGGGATCATGATCGTTGTCATTGAAATCATAACTTGCCTCTGGATCCTACATTTATAAAAACAGAATTAATTCAGACAATGAGAAAATGCATTTTAAAATGTTTAACAAAACGGGTTCTGGAGTCTGTATTTATTTATTTGGTGTGCCTCGTGTTGACAACAATCAAGCTGCAATCCCATAAATTTTTCACAGAGCTTTTAATAATTCAGCATTAAACCACTGTACACAAACACAACTGGGAAAAATCCACAGAGGGGAAAAAAAGGCAACAAAAAAACCAGCCCACTATCATTGCTAAGCAACATTCAACTTCCTGTGATGCAGATCAGGTTCCAAATTATGCCTAAGGCAAATATTTCAGTCTCTGTCCTGTAGGAGCTAACTTACACAACAAAGAGGAAGTCAGAGAAGAGTGTCTATATATCAAATTTACAATTGATTAATTAATTATATAGCATCCTGATGCCCAAACTTACATAGTTGGTGTAGATGTCGGTGTGATTCCACTCCAAGCCATCATCTAGGACTGTGATGACAACACCCTTGCCTGTAATCCCTTTTTGCCATACAGGAATAACATGGAGATCCAGTTTGGGCAGGGATGGAATTATTCTTGTATCTTGCTGGGGGACAGAAAGGATTAAAATATGCCAACATTTTTATCCATTTACACTACACAGGTAATTTTAAAGGTGTTCTAAACCATCCCAGCCTGAAGTTGTATATTTTCCTCTAATTCTGCAAAGACAAAAAACTTTCTCCAAATGCTTGTAGCACTTAAGAGATTTACCCCATTACTTGAAGATCGCTAAAGACCACCTCTGAACATAGAGCATTTTGCTTTTATTGGAGAAAGGCAGCAGAAACATGGGAATAGTAGGGACGTACTGATGAACCTTGGAACGCAAAGTTAATAATCAGACCTGCTAATGTTTGTTCTTTGTCACTTGATGACAAGCCGAGGCAGTACACCACAGTACAGTGAGCTGCATTCTCTCCAAATGTGTTCTCCTTTGACATTCAAGTTAGCCAGAGCAAAATAATTAATGGATAAAACAATTAAGGCAGTTGTTTGGTTAGGAACAACTGTGCTGAATCACAAGTTTCTGTTTGCTACCCTCATTACTGTTCCTGTGGTAAATCAACTGGAAGCATGAATCATCTATAGCCTTCTCTTCTACAGCAAGTTCTTTGAAGAGTAGCTCCTAAATGGGTTCTTTTTCCTCTCTAATATTAAATGTGCAGTACATACATCTAATTTAGAAAACTTGCTTGCAAACCCTATAAAAACACAGATGTGAAAAAGAGTGCTTTCTTTCTGTTTCTCTGTGCATAATTACGTTAGTTGATCACAGGTTTTTAATTTCTTTGTTTCCAAAGGAATGCTGCATAAAGAATGAGGCTTAGAAAGATAAATTTGTTATGGGAATAACCTTTCTTTCATTTTATGCTTTCTTTTCTGACTGCTGCCGTTCAGGGAATTATTTGAGGTTTCATGTTTTGTTCTCTAGAATCCATCAAGTAATCCTTTTTTTCTGGTGACGTGTGAAGATACACTGAATAGAGCTAAAAAATGTTGCCATCAAATCATAATAATAAGGTAATACTAAGTTATTTACTGCAAGGCAAGGAACATATTTTGGAAGAAAATATTTAACACATTTGTGCATTTAATCAGAAAAAATTCAATGTGCACTGCAAACAAGGGTAACATAACATATCTGTTTCTCATGTGGGAAAACTAGAAGGAAAAGAAGTGAAAACCACAGAAAGGTGGAAAAAGGAACTATGTCTCCTGGAGAGCAGGACATTGCTTTTTTTCACAAAACTGCTTTTTTGAACTCTGTCTGTGTTTGTGTATTTATCCAATACAGACATCTTGGAAACTTCCTGCTTCCTGCTGGAAACAGGCAAACAAGCAAACAGATAGTCAGCTTCAAAGAAAAGTTAAATTATTAAAGATAGCCATTTTTATGTTGAAAAGAAGTCTGCAAGAACCTTCATGGAAATATTTTATGCTATGCGGTTTATAATTTATTCTTCCTACCTCAAAAAAACAAAAGAGAGGGCAAAGCATTGCAAAAAAACCTAGAGTTTGGTCTCTTCTGTCCAAGTTGAACTGAAGAAGACAAAGGTATTTTCAGCCACTTGGGCCAAGGCCAGGCTGGATGAGGCTTTGAGCAACCTGGGCTAGTGGAAGGTGTCCCTGCCCATGGCAGCGGGTTGGAACTAGATAATCTCTAAGGGCCCTTCCAACCCAAACCAGTCTGTAATTCTATGATTTCTTCTTGACCTTTCTTCTTGTTTTGGTACGTCCACCTTTAATCCCATCCCTATTCTGAGTGAAAGCAACGAATCCTCAGCTGAAGGTACAGCTAGATGTATACAGACTCTCAAAAAAACCCAAATAAAACATAAGTGATCAACCCTATTTCTGAGTTGTCACAGGCAGATAGAAACTACAGAGCTCAGGAAATTCCTTTTCCTTGAGGTTTTGAACATGTGGGCTGTACAGACCCTCTTCTATTTAAATCCTAGTCCAAGAGGTTGAAGGTGCTTGTCACATGCATGCATATGCTTTTGTTTTCATCTGGAGTATGCACTCTGCACTACCAATTTTAATAAAGAAATACATGGTCAGCTTTAGGCATGACAGGGCATTTCTTAAGTGCCAACAGCATATATTTTAAAATCATACTAAAGGTAGCTTTTAACTGTTACACTTTCTAATACCAACCCCCATCCTAAGCAACTGCCTGAATTGGCTTTTAGAATCTTTGTAAAAATGACACTTCAAAGAAAATAGAAGGTTGCCTGGAAATATTATGCAGAGAGATCTCTCATTTTTACAGCATACGCTAATTAGAGGGACTCTTCATTTACTCCCTTCAGCACAATCGCTCTGACACTACTAAAATAATGCAGATGACAGCACAAGTTAAATTCACCATCCCCAGTTCCACCAAAAAAAAAAATTCTTACCAGATACCACTGCTGATTCCACATAGGATCATTGAACAGATTTGCTGCCAAGTCTCTCACAGTGGCACGCTTAGTCCGCTTTTTTTCATATTGCTGCTCTGCCCATGACACCTACAATTATTTGAATGAATATGACAAGTAAGCACCTGTAGGTTAGTATTTTCTTAGCCTAGAGGACAAGGGGTTTCCTCACACAGCAAAATTTAGATGCCTAAAGCAAAATGAGCACTGTTGGATGCAGAGGAGGACTGTTCATAGCGTAGTACAGTGTACTTTGGGGAAGAGGAATTGGTGAAATCACAATACTATAGAATCAATTCGTGGAAAATCATTAAGTTAACAGTAGAACTCCTGTGGGTGCCACACAATGCAGGCTTTTATATCAAATATGCCGTACGGTTAGGAGGTTAACAGTGGTGGTTACCAAAACAAGCAAAACCACAGCCTGCTTCTTTCTCCTACCTACATCTTAATCCCCGTCTATTTCTATGGGGAGTTGAAAGGAAAGGAGAAAGATTATCTCTGGCTTTAGTCTAGCAATCCTAATGATGCTGTTACTCATAGCCCAGCTGGACCTTCAAGTCTCCTTCCTAGTGGTGTTTTGAAGGGTGATGAATTAATAAGCTATGAATATTGGACTAACTTCATCACTGGCATAATTCCACTTCAGGCAACTGAAAGCCAAAATGCTTCAGTTTTGCTAATGCATTGATAGAACGAGTTGCACAGCATTTGTGCACAGGCACAGCAATCTCTAAGTTACCACATTGCATTTTAAAAGTGTACCCCACTTAGTCCCTGGAATGCACTACTAAAACCTGTTCAAATCAAATCCTGACTCTGACACCTCTCTCTGTGCTGTGCACTCCTTTTGGAAATGGGAATAAAATGTTATTCATTGCTAGTACCTGGGCGGTCAGTCTGACACAGATCAAGCTGGTGCTTTCAAACCCAGTTTCCAAATGAGCAAAGCACATTTGTGTTCAGTAGATTGCCCAGATCCTGCTATAAGCCTCAAGTGGAGGATGCCTTGGATCTAACCTCTTGCTTTAAAAGTCTGAAGATATTTCATTATTTTCCTCTACTGCAATCCAACAGCTTTATGGTCCTTACCTCTGTCACCATATACGAAACAATAACAAGAGTGACTCGGGAATTATAACATTAAAAAAATGTACTGATTCAATTAAAATACAATTACCTAGTGAGAGCCTCATGAAAGTTCACTACAGGAACACAAACCCTTAGAAATGGTAGCTACACCAGGCATGTTTACTGAAAGCTCTTTAATGCTATTCCTTTCGCTACATATTTAGTGCTAAAACTCCTACAAACCGTAAGGTAGTCACAGAAGATTAATACACCCCTGCAAGTGTAAGTATTTTAGACTGCTCTATTGATATCCAGGGCCATACATACTTGTGCACAGGTTAGAGAAATTACCTTTATCTCTCTCCCCTGACACAGCAAAGCTTGGCCTCTTCATCACCCAAGAATAATTAACAATTGACAACTTCCATGCTTGTTATTTTTTTTTCAATGTGGACAACTGGACTGAGGGAAATGAGCTGAAACTACCAAGCACATATGTCAGACAAACAAGCTAAATGTTTGTCACTCAGCAGTGTCACTGGGTGAGGTTCCAGCCATCCATCTACAGCAAAAGCTGAAGGTCCTGTGCCAAATCTCCAGACCCCGACAGATACAGCAGTGAAAATAATCTTGATTCAGGTCTCTTGCAAGAAAGTAGATTCAGAAATTAGTGCAAATACTGGAAGAAGTTAGGGAACCAGATGATTATGTCCCTTCAATATATTCACAGCTATTATCTGTTTTAAAACAAACACTGGGACATCTATAGGAAGTGGATAAATATTCAGATTAGAGCCAAGTTTTATTCCAGCTTTCACACTTAACATACCGTAAAATTCATGCAGGCATTATACAAACAAAAGCAGGATTCCCTTTTCTCTCCCTTTTTAAAGATTGAATTTAAATCTTTTTAAATAGGCTGTTGCTGAACAAGAGCAGCTCTTTAGAGCAAAGGTCCATGTGTAACTACACGGTGTTACATGATTGCTTTGTATTTATATACTTAACATAATGACATAATTACATCTCATTCATTCACACAGTTCATTTGCATACTAGATGGTAAATAAAAGGGAAATTGGAGTAAATTTAGCGAATCACCTGCAGCACTTTGAAGCTCTGATTTTGGATCTAAGTCTGCAATAATGTTTGGCAGTAATGTGCATACACAACTGCTTCCATTCCACTCATGACATTAGAATTCGGAATGTTAACCATGGTCATGCTTCCCCACGTACGAGATGCATTTGATGTAATAAGTCCAAAAAAGGGAGGGACTGCAACCAAAACTCTGTTCCTGAACACTGCACTATGATGTCACTGAACATTTGATCTTAGGTATGTGTACAAATTAGAACACGAATTTACACTAAAGCTGCAGTTTTGAACACCCCTAGTTTAGAATAATTTCGTCTAGAAGACTTCAACTGTTAAACCAACGTTTGCAAAGAGATAGATGGGAGTGTACAGTTTTGAAACAGAATGGACAAAACAAATACTCTGTCTCACCCCCTTCTTTAAACCTCCTAGCTACACAGAGAATATTTCTTCCTATAACACATTTGCATCTTATACCTCCAGATAAACAACTACTTGTTCTCAAGTGATTTGTCCTTATGTGGTAAACTGCCAGTTTTCTCAACTCGGTTGCTTCATGTTTTGGACTTGTAGTTTTACACAGCACCGTTCGCTCACCCTCCCCCCTCTCAGAGATGGGGGAGAGAATTAGAGGGGTGAAGGGAAAAAGAGACTCATGGGCTGAGAGAAGAACAATTTAGTAACTAACTACAATAATATTGGAAATAATAAGAAGAATTATAATAACAGTAATATATGCAAATAGACAAATGAGTGACACACACTGACACTGCTCACTACCCGATGACCAAAGCTCAGCCCTTTCCCAGCTAACAATCGCAGAGCAGGGAGAGTCCCGAAACCATGATTCTGGAACGGAGACAAGAGCTTGAGTGTCCAGGAAACTGAGACGGCCCTGAGAGGGGTGTCCCAGAGGGAGACAACCCAAAGCAAGAGAGAGAACTTCTGGACAGAGCCTCACCTATATACTGGACATGATGTGCATGGTATGGAATAGACCATTGGCCAGTTTGGTCTCAGTCCTAAACCTGAGGTCGAATCCTGGGCTGGGAACCGGGGCTGTGCTCCCTCCCAGCTCCTCCTGCCCCTGCAGACACGGGCACAGGAGAGAAGCTGGAAAATCCTTGACTGTCCTTCACTGCAGCTCGAACCACCAGTGTGTGATCAGCTTCCCTTCAGCAGAAACCCAAACCAGCCTCACACCAGCTGCTGGGAAGAAGGTAACTCTGTCCCAGCTGAAACCAGGACAGGACTTCTCATATTTTTGCAATGATTGCTGCAATAATGCTGATTTGCAATTCAAATTTTGTTGTTGTGAAATTTGCCAGAAATTGGTTTTAAGAGGGGCTGACAGCATTCTGGTCATTTGCTTAAATTCACCATCCACTCCAGTTTTTCAGTATGTTTACAAACAGACGTGCTTCTCTCTCAAATAATGTCAAACAAACGGGGAGTCTGCTTCACCAACGGATCATACCTTAGATCCCTGGCTCTCCAGGGTTCCTGTTCTCTGACTGCAGTGGGATCCCAGTGTACCAAAACACTGCAAGCCTAGAACATGTAGATGGATCCCTTGAGAAGGAGCTTCACCTTGTCACAGAAACGAATCCAGCAAAACCTCAGCCCTTTTCCTTGACTTCTTTTCTTTTTAACATTCAGGCACTTTAAATCAAACCTAATTTCCATGGTAATTGCACGATAAAACTCACTGCATCTACGGATTTTTACTTTGAATCAAGCCCTGACGTTCCTTGTTCATATTTTCAGCAGCAACACATCGACATCTCAAATTCCAAGCCTCTGCAATGCTGCATATCTTAAATCTTAATTTGGAAAGCACTTGCCAAAAAATATGGTAAGAGAGGGTCAGATTCTTCCTGTTAATGAGAGAATAACAAAGTATTATTCAGCACAACTGTGGATGGCTGAATATATTAGAATTGCAAAGCAAGGAAAGCCTGCCTGTGACCTCATTACAGAGCTAGCAATAAGGAGAGAGAATAAACAGAGAGCATGAAAAAGAATAAATGCAACACTCACCCGCTCATCATCAGAAAGTCTTTTAGTGATATGAACGGCACTTCGTCGAGACCGCCTTGGATGGCTTTTATGTCTGAACAGGTAGTGATTTTTGAGTGATCCAATCTGTAAGACAGAGGCGTACTTTAACCAACGAGAGATATTTCCCCACTGTAAACAAATATCAACAATCACAACCTGACTGAATTCATTCTGCTTAAAAGACAAAAGAGCAAGAAACTAAACCTTTTATTCTGAACTAAAAAAAACACTCTTCAGGTAACAAGTGCTTATCACAGCCTGTGTGCTGCCAGAAGATATTGGGGAAATAATCTCATTTAGGCTAGTGAAGTAGCAGTCATTACTACTACAGTACTCATCGATGTAGTACTTCTGGTAGTGACCAGTATACTCGTGGACACACCTTGACACACCACATTTCAAGGGACAGGCTTTACATATGGTCACAGTTTTACCTGCTCTGCCTGGAGTCCAGCTTAACAGGTACGAAAATCTTTGTGGGGTTTCAGAAACCTCACTGCGGGGTTTTTGTTTGTACAGGCATTTATTGAACCAGCCTTTCCACTTGTGCACCAGCCAGTCAGAGGGCTGGCTGCACCCTGCCACCTTTAAACACCTCTCTTCCCCAAGCAGGGGCAGCTTGAAGTCAATGGGGGCAATCCCACTGACTCCAAATACAGAAAAGACCAAACCTCGCTTACAGAGGTGGGATGACACCGAGGTTTGACAGTCTGAAGAACATGATGGTGCCCAGGGTCACTCGTCCTGCACAGCAGGGGGCCGGGAACGAGCTGCCCATAG